CAGACGCCCTCGGTGACGGCGGTTATGCCTTTGAAGAGTGCCAATAGACGTCTCATGCTCATCCCGCGACCTGGGCTACAGGACCATGTCCCTATCTTGATGAAGGTCGTCTATACGCTGCAGGCCCCACAGGCGCGACCAAGGAAGATCTGGGACTTCCATCGCCTTGGGCAGGCGCTGCAGCACGGCACCGGCGCGGCGGCCGTCGCGCGCGACCTCGAGGAGGCCTTTAGCGGCCACCCCGACTACTTCCACGAGCTGTACGATGCCAAGGCTCCCGACGAAGCCTGGGAGCGCTGGATGACGCAGGTGTCGACAGTGGCTGAGCGTCACTTCGCGGGGCGCGCTCCCGTTTCCCCCCGAGTGCAAGCGCTTCGAGATGAGCGTCTCCGTCTGCTGGCCGAGCGACGCGACCTTCGAGAGCAAGGCGACCCCAGCACCGTGGAGATGGAGCTTGCGAGAGCCTCCCGTCGACTACGTTATCATCGCAAGGCTTGGCTCGAGGCCGAGGTGCAGATGATTGTCGACGATATGTGTGAGGCCTGGCAGAAGAGACACTTTGCGGAGGTGTGGCGCCTGGGACATCAGCTCGCGGCCGAGTGCAAGGGGCCGAGGCGACGGCGCTACAACGTCGGAGCCTGTTTCCTCCCTCGGCGCGCCGAGATTGTGCAGCATGTCCAGCAGGATGGTGCCAGCGGCGGTCTCGATGCAGTTCCGATCAACTTCGAAGAGTACCGCCAGGCTTACTTGGAGGCGCTGCCGAGGGCGCCGATGTTTGCGCACGACCACCTCGATATCGCACGGGGGGACTTCGAGAAGCTGATCGAGGTGATCTCGAAGTCTCCTCGACGCCGAGCTGCTCCGCCTCACAGCGTGCCGACTGAAGTTCTACGGCTTGCTCTTGGACCGTGGCGTCGATATGATGGTCGACGACGGCGGTGGCCTCGACGTCCTGGTGATGAAGAGGGGGACGAGTCACCTCGAGCTGCGCCTCAGCCTCGGCATCGACTCGCAGGCGATCGGCGCGGACTCGGGAACGACGCTGAGGAGATCGATACGCCCATCACCGAGCGAGCGTTCAAGGCTATCCTGGCCCACATTAGACGCGCGCAGCGCGTCCCCTTGATCTGGCACCACTCCTTCACCACAGGCCTCGACAAGCACAACGGGAAGACGGGCTTTCACGCGAAGCGCTTCATGCATGGCCTGTGCCGAGTCGGTACATCTTGGTTCAAGGCGCAACTACATCGCGCTGCGTGCGATGCCCCTCCGCCCAGGGAACACGGGCATCAGCGAGGACGCAACCGTGAGGGCGCACTCCTCTGCCAGGAGGGGCTGCTCGGTCGCCTTCGCCGTCTCGGCATCTCCACCCTCACCACCAAGGAGGACATGAGCAACGCCTTCGGGTCCTCCACCCTCGCTGCCTTGCGCCAGACGGTCACGACAGCCGTGCGCCCAGAGGAGCAGGAGTATTTCCACCAGCGACACGAGCTCAGCACCTTCTGCGTGGGGTGGGGGGTGGGGGGGGGGGGGGCGATGGCGACCAGGACATGCGCAACCGCTGCGGAGCCTTCATGGGCGACACCCCCGCGGCGCTCTTCTTCGCCAGGACCTTCCGTGCACCTATTACGGACTGGCTCCAGCGACTTCGAGGCGCGGCCTGGGCTACGTATGAGATGCCTGACCAGCCGACCTCCCACCACGAGTGGGGGCGGCAACCACTTCTACCTCCGACGCCCCGAGCCGACATCGACACAACGATCTGGCCGAGCGAGACGATCTGTACAGCGCGGTGCCCGCTCCTGGAGGTCGCCGCCCCGCTTGGGACGCGGATCTACGCGGACGACACCAACCACGCGAGTGTTGTCACCTCTGCCAGGAACGCGGGCTTTGTCTCCAGGCATTCGCACCACGAGCTTCGACGGGCGTTGGGGCCCTACGGCTACACGCACAACCCGTCCAAGAGCTCGGTCTTGCCCTGCTTCGTGGGCTGCGGCGCCCAGCACGAGACGAGGAAGCTCTTCAGCGGTGTCGAGCATATCGCGGGGGTCGTGCAGTGCGACAACATCGCGCTGGGCATCCAGACATTTATCACGGGGGGCGCGCAGGCTGAGCTTCGGCGACGCCTGCAAGCTGCCCGCATTGGTTATTACAGCATGGGCCGCTTCTGGGCGCGCAACCGCATCCGGCGCCTGACCAGGATCGCGTTCGGGTCGGTCGTGCAGGAGGCCGCGCTGAGTGGGCTCAACGTTCTGGTTCTGAGCGTGTCGCAGCAGCTGCAGATCGACAAGGTGCTCTCCAGTCTCGGACGTCGCCTCTTGAAGGGGGCCGCCTGCCAGAAGATCCCGCTCCTCGACGGCGCGGGTGTTCAGAAGGTCGACGACAATGGCAAGCTGCTCGTTCGCTACAAGGCGATGTCCGACGTTGCGGTGCTGAAGCGGCTCGGGATGGCCTCCACGGCTACGGAACTACGAGTTCGCCGACATCGACAATGCCAGCGCTGGCTTCGCGCTCCCGATCAACACCCGCAGGAGCTCGCGGTCATGTTCGGCGAGCTACCGCTGGAGCCGGCGCCGACGCTCGACGAGGAGGGCTCGGTGGCTGCGGACGCCAACCCGTACGCGCTGCGGTTCGTCGAGGACGTGGAGACGCTGCTGGCGGCTGCGGGCGACGACGAGCTGCGTGAGGACCTGCAGACGGCGAAGGGCTCGCTCAATGTCGTCGCGCGGTTCTTCAATGACGACCTGCGGGAGCGCTACCTAGTGCGCGACCCTGGGCTGCTGAGGGCGCAGGCGCGCACGGTGGCGATTCCGCCGCCTGGCTGGCAGCCGCCGAGGGCGACGGGGGAGGCCCCCCCGCCGCCGCCAGCCATCTGGCGCTGCGAGCTGCTCGGCGTCGAGGGCGCCCTGCGCGGGCGCGAGTTCGCTACGAGACGGGCGCTGCTCGCCCATCAGAAGTTCCAGAAAAATTCTGGCCACGGATGCCGGTCCATCATCCATTCCCTTATCATTACCAACCAATGTGTATACTGTTCTAGTACCTTCAGGACAGGACGGATTGCGCAAGAGCACGCCGTGACTGCGCGCCTGACTCGTCGATGCCCCGTCCAGCGGCCCCCCTTCTGCCGCGAGGTTGCGGGGCCCCCATATTTGATGTGTCCCTTGGCTTCGATAACACGGTCTGCGTTGCATCCTGGCTCGCAGTCTCTGGAGCTAGCATGTCCGATTAGGGAGCCCTTCGAGACCCTAGCAGATCTGCAGGCACATCTGCTCGAGCAGCATGCGAACGCCCCGAGCGCCCCTCGGGCCGTGCGGCGGGCCCCTGCGGGCGGCGGCGACGCCCGTGTCCTTCCGCCTCAGTCCGCAGGCGCTGGAGGAGGCCAAGGGCCGATCTCGATCCCACAGCCGCCGAGCCGCGCCTGGGCGAGATGGCCGAGGTGGCTCCGCGAGTGCCAGCCGTGGGGCCCACGTGCGCCTTCGCGGAGGCGGAGGGCGCAGCAGCGAGCGCGTCGCTGCGGCCGCGCGGCCAGCCGCCGACGCAGCGCCCGCGCCCGTGGCAGCCGCAGCGCAGGTTGCTCGCGCCCGCGGCGATCGCCGCACCGCGCAGGCCGAGACCGGCCAGACCTACGGGCTCCAGAAGGACACGTTGGACAAGCTGCCGACCATGGAGCTGCAGCTGGCGCTCAAGATCACCCCAGTGATTGCGAAGGCGGTCTTGGGCAACAGCTTCAACATCCGCCAGCTCATGCCAACGAGCTACCACACGCTGCTCATGGGCGAAGATGCCGAGCTGGTGAAGGCGCCCTTCACGGCGGGCAAGGCCTACGCGCTGGCGGCGCAGAAGCTGCGCGACTTGCACCGCGCCGACCCCGTGCAGCACAAGACGCCCGAGGCGATCATGGGCCCCGCCTGCGTCCAGGTGTTCCTCGAGGCCGCTCGCGCGCTGAAGAGCGCGGGCGAGAAGGTGGGCATGCGCAACAAGGAGGCTTGGGAGGCGATCTACGCGCGGATCGATCCGATGCCCATCCCCGAGCTGACGTTCCTGGTGCGCGGCTTCCGTGTCTCTCAGTGCTACAAGGAGGGCACGGCCAAGATCGTGATGTGCACCAGCGACTCCAATGTGGAGCAGTGTTTCCTGAGGTGCGCCGAACAGCTGGGGGCGGAGTACAAGCCTGGTGTCGGCCCTCGCGGGCACCAGGAGCGAGCGCTGCAGATGGCGCTGGACCAGTTCACATCACAGACATCGGACACGGCCTCCTGGAGATGCAGCCAAGGACGTGGCAGGTCCTAGAGGATGGGAAGTTGGTGCTGGTGCTTCGCTGAGCTCGCGGGAGGCCGCGGCGGCCACGGTGCGTGGCAGTGTGACCGCGGGGAGCGCGGCCGAGCTCAGGGCGGAGACCGCCAGACCTCGGTGCGGTCCGTCGAGGACCGCAGTGCAGGATCCCCCCCCCTCCTCCCGTCCAGACCCCTCTTGTCCGTTCGTCTACTGCCCCTCCCCGTCCTCAGCCAGCCAGTAGTAGTGTACAGTCTCAGGTGATGTCGAAACGTAGCAATAGAACAGCAGATGTAGAGCAATTCGCAAAACTCAGTCTGACTGAACGTTTAAAAATCCTCGCGTCCCACCGTAAATGGTAGAGCGAAGGCAACTCGGGGCTCCCAGGGAGGGCACGCCTTGTTTTCCTAATCTTGAGCGCGCACTGCAGGTCGTACATATCGATTTGTGTTGATGTGTAGTTGTGGTTGAGTGATGTTTCGACCCGAGGCCCGATGCAGCGACCGACCGACCGACCTCCTCCTCCTCCTCCTCTCCTCCTCCTCCTCCTCTTCCTCCTCCTCCTCCTCCTCCTCCTCCTCCTCCACCACCTCCTCCTCCTCCATTATCCTCCCCATCCTCATCCTCATCCTCCCCCCCTTCCCCCCCACCCCCCCGTCCTCCGCCCCCCTGTCCCCCCTCTTCCTCTCCCGTGCCTCCTCGCTGCTCCGCCCCCTCGCTCGGCCCAGGTCTGCGCCAGGGACCTTCGCCCCCGGAGCGCTGCGGTGCGCGCGGGAGCTGCTGGGCCGCGGCAAGAAGGCCCTGCGGGCCCCACCGTCCTCCCAGGGCACCCTGTTGATGCCGAGGCGGCAAGAGGAGGGCTGGGAGGGGAGAGGGGGCCCGAAGTTGGAGGAGGAGGAGGAGGAGGAGAAGGAGGAAGGGAAGGATGACGATGATGATGATGAGGATGATGATGATGATGATGATGATGATGCTGATGATGACGATGATTATGTTGATTCTGATTATGATTATGAGTATGATGCTGTTAATGATTCTGCTGATGATGATGATGCTGTTGATGCTGATGATGATGCTGATGATGCTGATGATGCTGATGCTGGTGCTGATGATGAGCTGATGATGATGATGATGCTTATGCTGATGCTTGTTATGATGGTGCTGATGATGGTTGTGATGCTGATGGTGATGATGATACTGCTGATGTTGATGATAATGATGGTGATGATGATAATGATGATGCTGATGATTATAATGATGAGGGTGATGATGATGCTGATGATGATGCTGGTGCTGCTGATGATGATGCTGGTGCCGAAGATGCTACTGCTGATGAGGATGCTGATGTTGGTTCTGATGATGATGCTGATGATGATGATGCTGATGATGATGGTGATGCAGGTGATGATGAGGATGCGGATGCTGATGGTGTAGATGATGATGCCGATAATGATGATGATGCTGATGCTGATTATGATTATGAGTATGATGCTGCTGCTGATGATGGTGCTGATGCTGATGATGATGCCGATGATGGTGCTGCTGATGATGATGCTGATGATGCTGATGCTCGTGCTGATGATACTGATGATGACGACGATGCTTATGCTGATGTTTATGCTGCTGGTGCAGATGATGATGATGATGATGCTGATGGTTTTGATGATGATGGTGATGATACTGCTGATGTTGATGAGGTTGATGGTGATGATGAATCTGCTGATGCGAATGATTCTATAGGCTTACGCCACATCCGCCGACCCCTATATAGACTACTGCGCCTCCAGGACTGCATTTCACGACGTTTGTCCGAATCATGACACGGCGCTCGACATCGTTCCTGTTGCTTCGTTGCTGTTATCGTACTTTTTGGTGTTCTTTTGTGGCCTTTTGGTGGCATCCTGGCCTGTCTGCAGGCCATATCTGGCCGCCTCGAGGCATCTTGGGCCAAGTTTTGGGGCCTCTTGGGGGCTTCCTGGGGGCTTCTTGGAGGCCTTTGAGGTTCTCTTGGGGATCCCTCAGGGCCTCTTGGGCTGTTCTTGGGGCAGACTGGGGACGTCTTGGGGCCGCAGGCTCGAAAAGGTGCCCTTTGGGCTCCATTTTGGAGCCGTCTGGGGGCCCTCTTGGGCTGCCTTGGGGGCTTCGGGGGCTGTTGTTGGACCCTCTTCGACCCTTCTTGGGGGCCCCTTTGGCCGTCTGGGGGCGATATTGAAGGTTTCTCTGCCCGTCTGGGACGTTGTGAACACCGAATAGGCGAGCATGCGAAAAATGCTTGTTTTTCGAAGGGAATGGGCCGATGTTTGTTTCTTGGGGCCCTCATTGGGCGCATCTTGGGGGCCTTTTGGGGCGTCTTGGCAGCTTCGGAGGCCGCCTGGAGGCCATCATGGGCGTCCAGGGCGATATTTCGGCAATTCGTGGCCCCTTGGGACCGTCTGGGGAGCGTTTTCGTGCCTTCTTGGCCAGTTTTGGAGCCCTCCGCTCCCCCGTGGCGCGTTCGGTCCGGGGTCCGGCCGGGCGAGGGGGGGGGTCGAATTGCCGGTTTGGGGTCCCTGGGGGGGGATTACGGGGGGGATAACCTCACACGCCTAGAGACCCACAAGGGGTCGGCGGACTATGATGATGAGGGTGATGCTGGTGCTGATGATGATGCTGGTGCTGCTGATGATGATGCTGGTGCTGATGATGATGCTGCTGATGAGGATGCTGATGATGGTGCTGATGATGATGCTGACGATGATGATGCTGATGATGATGGTGATGCAGATGATGATGAGGATGCGGATGCTGATGGTGTTGACGATGATGCCGATGATGATGATGATGATGATGATGCTGATGCTGATGATGATGATGATGGTGATGATGATGATGATGGTGGTGATGATGATGGTGTTGCCGATGATGATGGTGATGGTACTGACGGTGATGATGCTGCTGATGATGATGAGGACGATGATGATGATGATGATTATTATTATGATGATGGTGATGATGCTGATAATGAGGATGATGATGATGATGATGATGATGATGATGATGATGATGATGATGATGATGATGATGATGAGGAGGAGGAGGAGGAGGAGGAGGAGGAGGAGGAGGAGGAGGAGAAGGAGGGGACGCGGAGGAGCAGAAAGAGGAGGAGGACCGTGTTCTTCCTTCCTTTACTCCTCCTCCTCCTCCTCCTCTTCCTCCTCCTCTCCGTCCTCTTCCGTAGCCATTTTGGCTCAAGATGTTTTGTTCCTCAGTGGGACAAGTGGATACCGCTAGTCCGCGGCAGGCAAGGCCCCTTGTGGTCTGGCAGAGTTTCCTGGCACCGACGTTTGCCCCCACGGGTAAACGGAGGCCTTTCTCATGCCTGTGGGCGCGAACGTTCTGGTCATGGGGCCTGCTGCTGGCGAGAAGAGGGAGAAGAAGCCCGCCAAGGACAGGAAGTCATCCAAGGCTGCCAAGAGTGAAGGGACCCCTGGGTGGCGCGTTCGACATCGTGCCCCAACTCCTGTTGACGATGATGATGCTGGTATGTCTCCTGTGTCTGTCGCCACGACGCCCCCTGTCACCCCCCGCCATCAACGGAAAATTCGCGACCCGTCCTCTCGACGCTCCAAGCGTTCCCCTGGACGTGGTGCAGACGGATCTCCTGAGCGTCGCTCTCGCAGTGGTCATGGCGACTCTTCTGGAGGATCGACTGCTGCGGTTCGACGGGCCGCTGGCATGGCTACGCGTGCGGAGCTCGAGGGTCGTGTACATGGTTCTGCTGGAGATACCCCTATGCTTCCGTCGCAGGAGCCCGCTGGCGCCCCTGGCCGTGCTGGCGATGGTGCTCTCGACTCCCTGGAGGGTCTTTCGCAGTTCGCCACCTTCCCGTCGCAGGAGTTACGCGGAACCTCTGCAGCGGCTGGCACGGGCCCACCGTCACCTATGGCGTTCGAGATCCACACGCCCATCGTCGGCAATGTGGAGGGCGCTTCGCTGCCTGCTGCGCCTGCCCCTGGTGGTGCTAATGGCGCTTCTGGGAGGGGTGTGGGTCCTGGGGGCGATCCCTGGGCTGGCGCCGCCGCTGCTCGGCAGGTGGAGGCGCTGCACCGTGAGCTGTTCGCCGACTTCCAGCAGTCTTGCATGGATCAGGTGTCCTCTCTCTGTGTCGAGTGGCTGCAGAAGAGTCTCCCTGGCGCCCTTGCTGCTGCAACGGCGCCGATGTTCAAGAAGTTCGATGCGAAGGTCTCCCAGCTCTTCAACCAGCTCTCGGAGCATGTCTCGGCGACCAACTCCCGCGTGGACGCGATGGAGGGTGCCCAGCGTGAGCTGCTGCGTCGCCTGGAACGACTGGAGGGTGAGCTGGACTTGGCCAAGCATGCGCCACCGCGTGTGGCGCTACAGCGCACTGCTGACTGGGATCGCGATATTGACTCGAGCATCTTCACGATCACTGCGAAGGAAGAGGTCGGAGTGGGCATGGTCGCCGACGCCATCAAGGAGTGGCCCGGCGCCTGCTCCTACGCGCTCGGGCAAGAATGCAGGCTCGAGGGCCCGCAGCTCGGCCGTCAGTTCGTGCTGCGCATGGCGGGCCCATTGGCGGCGACCATCTTGGCGAGGATGCGGCACCTTCAAGCGGCTCTGCGTCTTAGCCCTGGTGCATGGCGCAAATTCAAGGCGGTGGGACTGGGTGAGCGCCCCATTGAGTTGTACGTCGGCCGTGATAAGAACCGATGTGACATCGCCCGTGAGAGGGCATGTCGCCAGCTGCGCATCGCCTTTGAGAACGCGTTCACTTTGCCGCGGCGGGTGTTCGTGGACAGAGACGCTGGCGTGCTCACCTACCAGTGGGAGCCGATGGCCAAGATCGAAGTGTCGCCGCATGAGCTGCCCGTCATCAAGTGCAACAAGAACTGCATCGTGGACATGGGCCTGGACTACTCCAGCGCCATGGAGGTCGGGAAGGCTTGCTTCGCCCCGAAGAAGGTTGAGTGGTGTGGGTAGCATCTGGCTGGATGGGCGTATCGTCCAGTATGTCTCCTGGAAGTCCCGCGCGTTGTGCCACCGCGATGCGCCTGCTGTCCGACGTCGTCTCCGTGTACTGACTGCGCTGGCCTCGCCCCAGGCTATTGTTTGCCTGCAGGAGACCCGCGGCTCTCGCGACGCAGTCGCCGAAGCGTGTCAGAGAGCTGGGGTGTCGCATCAAGTTTTTAGCTCGCACGCCGAGGACTCGCGCACGGGGGGGTGGGTGGCCGCTCTCATTCCGTCGGGCCCCTGGGCCGAGCAGCATCTTTCAATTGTGCCTAAGGAAGTGTGCATCGGGCTTGTTTTAATGCTCAAAATCACCTCCCCAACGTTTTGCTTATTTCATTGGAACGTTCATAACGCGGATATCCCTGCGGAGATTATGCGCGAAATTTTGGAGACCATCCGATTGCAATGTGAGCTAGTTCGTGCTGACCCGCTGCGCATCGGTCTCATCCTGCAGGGCGACTTTAACATCGCCAACTCGGTGGTGGGGGCGGGGCGGATGGGTCGGGCTGGGGATCGGATCTGGAAACAAGTTTTCCGCGAGCTCACTGAGCTGGCCACGGATGCTCCGGCTTGTTGGCGCCAGGGGACCCGATCGGAGGCCTGCGTAGACAGGACATTTACGGCCACCCCCCCGTGGATACTCTGTGAAGGACATCAGTCGGTCTCTAGGTTGGACGAACCTCGTGAGCTGTTCCTGCGTGGTGTCAGTGACCATTGCCTTATCACAGTGGTCCTCTCGGCTCGCCAGCGTGGGTCGCCTGATCGCTGGCGCCCTCGTCCTCTCCCTC